CAATAAACGAGCTGATCCAAGCAGGAGCCCTGAGCCAGCACTTGGACATATTTTGAGAAACAATCCTGTAAACTAACACATTGCTATAATACGTGAATGCATGCAATTTTAAGAAACTGATATGTGAGAAAATGTTAATGAAGAGATACTAAGTCTTTGTTCTCAAACCATTGTGTTAAAAGCTGGAAATAGGGTTGAGGGATCTCTTGTAAAGATTTCATACTAAGCACCACAACCTATTTTTTCTATATTGTATTGAAAAGGGCAGAACTAATACAAGCTTAGTAAATGAAACAAATGTTATCTATGCTAGAATACTGTAAACAACATTATCTGGTAACTATATTTAACATTTGTTTGCAGGTAAGTAATGTGCAAATAATGTCCTGAATGTGGAACAAACAACAAATTTCTGTAGAAAGGAGACGGTTTAAGGAAGGCTATTTTATTTGTGCTCTTTTTTTTTTTTTTTTCAACAAGAAAATAAAGAAAGTCTCTGAGAGATCCTGTGGCAAAGCATGTTCTCCCTCTTCAAATGCTCTTTCTCTCCGGTTCCTGTGTCATATGCCAGTAGAATACGACACAAGCTTGCACTAAGGTTCACCACTGTTGTGTCTGTCACTTGTCTATAACGCTTCATTTCATATCCACTTCCCAGGCATTGTTGTTACAAATAAACAGTTCATGTTCATCGATGTCCAAAGAATAGCAACGCAGATTTCAACCACTTCCTCTTGTTGGTGTCTTAGTCGAAGCTTGGCTACTCTTTGATGCATGACAAATCCAGGCCTTCACTGCTCATAAACAGAAGGAAAGAAAATCTTCAAAGAAAAACAACAGTTTAGTATATCGCTACATTTATATAGCCGGTACACAAAGAATGCTCAAGCGACTAAAAATTCCAGTCTGGATCTTATATAGTTGTTTTAATTTTTTTAATGATTATTTTAAAAGTAATGTTAAAGTTATAAACATTAAAAGAAAATGAACTGTTTTAAGGCTGTTTGTTTTTACTTAGTTAAAGCCACAATCTCAGGTATGTGACACGGAACCAGCTACAGCTCAACAGTTTTCTCATTAGAAAAGGTCAGACTGACACAAAGAGGAACCATGTCATTGCTGCTCCAGTCTAAAAACACAAATAACCCTGCTTTTTTAACCACACATATGTGCTTGTGCAGTGCTACAAACTGTGGGGATTTTATTAACCCATGATTATGGCTTTAACCAGGAATCATTTCTAGAGCATACTGGACGCTTACAGCACAGAACACTTTTTTCTTTTTTATGTCATTGTTTACCTTTTGTTCAACGTTATAAGTCAATTTGTACCTCAAACCAGAAAGCATTGAACATTTTACAACAAATTGTGTCATGTGTATACATACATTTGCCATGTGAATGCTTCCATATAAAATCTGTTGGCCTTAAATGATCTTGAGTCCACCCCTGGTATTAAGAGCAAACTCCAGTGTAGAATACTTCTTTATATCTAAAAAAAAAACCCTGTAGTTTCTGACTTCTTTTGGCCAGCCTTTGTTTTGAAATGGGTTAAATTGAATGTAAACAACAGTTAGTATCTTATCTGCATTTAACGAAATGTGGTGCCAAGCTGCTTAGTATCTCCTCCAAATCATTGAATTGAAGTCTTCCAATTCTACTTATGTGTTTGAGTGGATAACACCAGGTGCCAAGACATGCAGGTTGTTTAAACAAAAAGATGTAAATGAAGAGCTTGCTTTTGAGAGCTCAGTGAGCTGTAGGGGAAGTTTTGGTAGGATGCCACGTATGCAATAACTGCATTTATAAAACTTAAGACTACTCAACATTCCATGGTCAAGGGTAAGAAGCATTGCATCAAAAATACTGTGGGAAAAAAAATCATTTATTCACACAGAGATGTGCCAATGCGGCACAGGGACAGTGCATGAGAAACATGCAACAGAGAAAGAAGAGAGGAACCTTCATAGAATAGAGTTGCTGCTGCAAAACCTTACATTACCAAAGGTTAATGCAGAAAATCAGTTCTATTGTAGATTAATCGGAACTAGAGCATTGGGAACTAGTTCTCTGGAGCAATGTATCCTGGTCAGACAATCTGCTAAGCCTCGGTTCATCGGTTGCCACAAATAAGGAGTTGTCTGACTGCATTGCAAATGCAGAGTTTTGTGGAGGAGGGTATTATGGCCAGGTTCAGCTCCTAAAAAAAGAGGTACCGGTACTCTTAAGTTCCAGCTATGATGGGACCTGTGGTAGATGGTCCTATTCAGCTACAAAATTAGAAAATTAAGGAAAATCATCTTTATTTGTAATTGCAATTTTGTACATTGCAATGGTTATTTTCTGGGGTCTTGATTAGGAATCCAGATTGACCATCTGACGGACTGGAAACTGCAGCCCTCTCACACACAAACATCCTGTTCATTGGGGGCAGATTTGGTAAGGAGGAACATGCCTGGCCTTTAACCTTAGAAAGTCCCTTTGTAGTTAATTAGAGCAGACAACATTTTCCATCACCCATTCCTTAATGGACTGCTCCATATTTTTTGAAAGCAACTAAAAATGACCTTTGGAAGAATCTGATTTGTTTTGTCAAAAACATAAGATACTATCTGCTGTTTACAATCCCCAGAACCCTCACATCAAAAGGCTTTGAACTCTTTCTTTTAGTCTCTAGATGTTTTAAATGCACTAAACATCATCTCTTGTCACATTCCACCTATTTTTAACAGAACACTTTCACAGACACAAAACGCTATTACTTAAAAAAAAACCTGTTCCGGTTATAATGTCGTGGAACCAATTGCAAGTAATTAATTTTGTACAATGGCAACAATTCCTTATTTATTTCCATTTCTAAACCACCAGTAGCAATCTGAAGACATTTGAAAATGGGAACAGTTCAATTTCTGCTTGTACGCTTTAATCCAGCTAGAACAGAAATAGCATTTTAAAGAATACATTCATCCGGTTGTTTCTATGAGCATGAAAGTGTGTGCTGATGCAACTGTAAGTGTGATGTTGGATTTGTAACCGTGTCCTGGTTAGGGGAGTGTAAGAGTCAATCATCTACCACAGTACTTTGGTCATAGTAATGATTCGAGGATAAAAGGGGATTCAGTGAGCCAATGAAGGAGGATCATTTTGTGCAAATTGTAGTTCACTTTAGCAATGTTGTGAAACAGAAAAGCAATATTTGAAATAGTTCAAATACCTGTGATATTTCAAGTTTGGCACAATGGCACCACAGTGGAACCAGAAGAGTCCAAAATAAAAAAGAGATAAAAACGTGGGCTAAAAACACAGTGGAGCTACAGTGTATCAAGAAGGAAGCTGAGTTTTAGGTCTTTTAATAATGGTCGTTTTATGATTTTGAACAGTGCAGTTATGCTTCCCCAATGGGAATTAAAGACATTCAGTAGAAGATTAAATTTTTTAGTTTGATTTCAAAATCAAAAACGTACCAGGATAGCTGAGCCGACAGGTAACTAAGTTGGAACTCCGGTTTCTGAAAAGTCTGAAAGATTTCAAAGCCATGTTATAGAAACAAAAGTCTTTTTTGTTGCAAATATAGAACTTTTCTTTCTTCTGTACAGCATTCTCTCTTTAGGATGATGAAGAGCACATGTAGAAGAAGTTCACCAACGAAAAAAAGGCTGGCTAGTGTTTTTATGTTGTAGTTTTGTTTTTTCTTTTTTGGCTCAGAGGACAGAGCACTTTCCTCTTGTTAGAAAAGGAGGACACAAATGTTTCTTCTGTTATTGTGTTTGTTTCTGTTCTTGACCAACCTTTCTCGACAGAAAGGTTGAAAACAGTCAAAAAAAACCACCATCACATAACATAGCCATGCCATATTCAAATAATGAAATATTAATGCTGAGGATCGTAGGAATAATAAGAAGACTAGTAATGAGAATAAGAATAATGAATAATAATAATAACATTATAATATATATATTTTTACCCTTTTTAAAATCTTCATATAAAAACAGTGATGAGAGGAAGTTAATACACAGTAGGGCTCTACCACCCCATCGGTTGATTTGGCACATTAGACACACTCTCATATGAGCTACCTACTTGATCTCAGCACAGGTAGATATTACTGCTGATTGGTCGCCCATCCTGAACCATTTTATTTGATGTTTTAAATCTTCCAAATTTTGTCCACATACACTCATCAGGGTCATATTATTTGTTGGCCTTTTTTAATAGTTAGGTTTAAAAAAAAGAGTAATGGGGTTTAAATGTTTGAAGTTTGGTGAATTTTCTGGAGGCTTAGGTATATGGTATAAAAGTATCATCGGAAAATCACAACCTTAAAGCAGGATCTTTTTAATAACCTCAAATTCCTATATTTTGCTTTAATTATGAAATATGTTTTTATTGGTCTGGCTAAAATTTTAGGCAATGTTTTCAATGAATAACAGTTCAAATGTGTAAAATCAACAGACACAGATACCAGTTTAAGACTGGGGATGGTGAACTCAGAGAAAACATCCTCATCAGCACAGTGTCTATGTCACTTTCAACAACACAGTGTCTATCACTTGCATATACTAAGAGGCACCAGTTTTTTGGCACCTAAGATTGTTCTAACACATTAGCAGTGTTTTAAAGAGGGCTTGGCAAAGACTATAAATCCTCAAACATCTCAAAAGTAAAACTTTAAAGCAGGGGTTCCTGCTGTCCTGTGTTCCTCCATCACTCTGTGGTTTTCCTCTTATACAAAATGGATAATCTCAGACTTTAACTCTCTTCGAAGAAGGAGATATGTAACTGCGTCGCCATCATTCTGACGGAGTCTTGGCTGCATCCAGCAATACCGGACAATGCTAGAGGCCATGAAGGCTCTATCTCTCTATATCTATATCTCTGAGCTTCAATCTGCACAAACAGAGGGTGTTTTCATCATTGCTGGGGATTTTAATCAGGATGACTTGAAGACTGCTCCCTCATATTTACCAACATGTGCACCTTGCAACTCGGGGTGAAAACCTGATTTACTCTAACATCAAAGATGCATTCAGAGCAGCCCCCCATGCCCACCTCGGGTCATTAGATCATCTTTCAGTTATGCTAATCCCCGCATGTAAGCCCCAGCTGATCAGGGCTGAACCGACAGTTAAAGAGGTCCAAGTGTGGTCTGAGGGCACCATGGAGAAACTCTGACTCAAACATCTTCAAGGCTGCAGCAACATATGAGAACATATTAAATATAGATGAATATGCCATGAATGTGTCTCCCTACATTAACAAATGCATTGAAGATGTCAGCATCAAAAAGAACATCACCACCCGGGCCAACCAACGACCCTGGATGAATAGAGAGGTTCGGAAATCGATGAAAGAGCAGAACTCAGCCTTCAAGTCTGGTGATAAAGATGCACTGAGAACAGCATGTGCCAACTTAAACTGTGCCATCAGATCAGCGAAGCAGAGCCCCAGCCAGAAGATCTAGGATCTTTTCCTCTACGCCAGCAACACCAGGAGGATGTGGAAAGGCATTTGGGTAATCACAGACTACAACACACCCTCCCCCCGGTAGATGGAGCAAACACTGACTTCCTAAATGAACTGAACAACTTCTTTGGTAGGTTTGAGGCACTAAACAGCACTCCAGCAGTGAAAGCCGTTCCACACCAGCAGGAGGAGACACTAAACCTTGACGTAGTTGAAGTGAGGAAAACTCTGAGGAAGGTCAAACCCAAGGAAGGCCCCAGGCCCTGATAACTGGGAGAGTGTACAAGGAGTGTGCTGACCAGCTGACTGGTGTCCTCACAGACATTTTTAACCCCTCGCTGGACCAATCTGTAGTGCCAGCATGCTTTAAGTCTGCCACCATCATTCCTTTTCCAAAGAAGCCTCAGGTCAGCTCATTCAATGATTACCGGCCTGTCGCACTAACTCCCATCATGATGAAGTGCTTCAAAAGGCTGGTTAAAAAACACATCGTCTCCATTCTGCCGCCATCATTCGACCCGCTCCAGTGGACGCCACAGAGGACGCCATCTGCTCTGCTCTTCAACTGAGCCTGGAGAAGAAGAACACTCACGTGCGGATGCTGTTCCTGGACTTCAGTTCAGCTTTCAACACCATCATCCCACAGCATCTGACAGGAAAAGTGGAACAGCTGGGCTTCAATACAGCTCTCTGTAATTGGCTGCTAGACTTCCTCACAGACAGACCTCAATCAGCATGGGTCAGACAAAACGACCAGTGTAGGTATCAGATCTGCTCAGGTGGTCAGATCTGCTCGGAGCCCCACACCTCCCGATGACGTCATAATATGGCAGCTCCACTCAAACAAACTACATTGTGCCTGTGGTCTGTATTTGTAACAAATCTATTTTATTTAGGTAATTTACATTGCAAGTTAATGTATTATAGATATTTGGTCAAATACTGAAAGTGCAAAACCACTGTAAATTAACAAAATTAAAATTATTCGTTACAAAAACAGACCGTAGTTTGTTTGAGTGGAGTTGCCATAAAGTGACGTCATCGGGGGGCAAATTCCTTAGAAAAAATTGTCAGTTTACAAATTGCAATCCCGCTCTCAAGGAAAACCTACAATCCTGTTATATTTACGTTAGTAAGTTGTCTGGACCAATCACAATGTTTTGTATAGTGATGCAAGCGTTAATCAAACGTTATCATGTATAGTGACGTCATCGGGAGGTGCAGGGCCCCGAGCAGATCTGACCAGCCGAGCAGATCTGGTACCTACACTGGACATACAGAGATGAGGTGGAGCAGCTGGTGGACTGGTGCAGATACAATAACCTGATCCCTGATAAGGGATTTTGATGGAAACTAGGGTTGTAATACAAAAGTACCTATTTAAAATGACTAAAAAGGGTTGTACAATATATCATGGGAAATAACCATTGGAAAATCAATGTGTTCAACATTGATATTGCAAAGGTAAGCTGAAAATAAATAGCTTTTTATCTGAGTTTCATACGTTCACAGCTAGTGTCCTTTTAAGTCATTATGGAATCCAACACAGGTCATAGGGTGGTAACGGTTACAAAGAAGCATGGTTGTAATAAAGTGAGGACACTGTGGATATTGTTGCAAGTGATATTGTCATAGACATTTTCACAGCTAATGAAACTAGTCATCTTACTACTATTGTGCAGCTGCTATATCTACCATTTCCTACAAGAAGTGCGGTCAAACATCAAATTAGAATTACTCTTGAAATTGGTAGATACCCCTTGTACAGGGGTATTATGTCAATGGATTGTTACATTTTGAGTATTTTAACCCATTTGTTGATTTTCGTTACTGTCTGGATCAGAAAAAATGCACTAAACATGTCAACTTACGTGCTGTATAATAATCCCTCCCAGCAAAATTAAATTCTAACTACATAATTAAAAGCCAAAGATTACTATGACTTTTACTCCCCTGATGAGTGTTTGAAAACTGCAGAATGGTACTGTACATTATTTTTTTTACTGCCTCTTTATCTGGTGTATCACACTCCATAATGCAGCTTCAACTTTCCCATGAAAGCAATACATAAGGCTCTGTTAGTGAAGTTTTAGTCTGCTTTTAGAAACTTAAGGAAGATCCAAAGCATCATTGGTTGTTCAAGATGGGTTTTCCAACAACATTTAGGGAGTTTCTATTCTTAACGTCAATTCTACTTTTCTTCATTCAAAACTTACAAATAGCTACATAAGTCTGAGCTATAATTTCCATTACATTACAAAAAGTATCTCAGTTTCAATAATATATTCATATTTTTGTTCAATATAATACGTATATTAGTTTGGTCCTCATCCGTTTTGGGAGGAAAAGGCTTAGTTTGTGTAAACTATGTGTGTTGTGTCTGTGTGTGTAAACATGTATGTGCAAAGTACATTTTTGTAAATGCCATAAGCTGTTTGAGTATATTTACATGTCTGATGATAATGTCCACATATCAGTGTGTTGTAATTGCAGTCTTTTTTTAGGTACAATGTGTTTGGCAACTTCACATATGGGATTAAGCCTTCTGTTGGGCAGACACACCCTTCCAATAGTCCAGTATGTCATGAAGATCTTCATCCTTGGCAAACTGAACCTTCCGCCTCAGAGCATGCCCGGCTGCCACGTATCCTTCATCTTCTAAGGATGCCTGCCGATGCCTCTTACGGTGCATTTTGAACCTCTCCCAAAGCCCTAGAGTTGGGGTACATAGGAGCCCTTCCTCCTCCTCATCTTCCTCAGGACTTGAGCAATAACTGAGGTTGTGGTATTGGGGTGAGAGTGGGTAATGCTGCGACAGCTGGGAGTAGGTTAACTCACGCTGCTTAGCCTGCCTATTTAGAGTAATGGGATCCAACACAGAAGGTTTGCGACCTCCTGGGTGGTGGTGAAGCTCCTGCAGGATCTGTGGATGGTGCTGAAGTTCTTGGAGATGCTGTTGAGATCCTGGATAGGAGTGGCGGTGTTCATTGTACTGACGGATTCTCTGGGCTTCAGCACGCAATATAGCTGCAGCTGGGTTGACTGTACGGATGGCATCTCCTCCCCTTTCTCCTGGTGAGGCTCTTTCAATGTAACGGGACTCTGATGAGTGGTACCCTCCCTCTGAGCGGAAAGAGCGAGGGCTCCGTGCAGAACCAGGAGAGGAGGAGGTACTAGGCCGTTTGGTTGTTGGAGGAGTTTCCATGCTGTGGTGTCGTTGCAAAGAGGGGTGATAACTTCTTGACCGGTCCTCTCTTCCGCCTCTTCCTCCCTTGTAGACAGGAGAGAGGAACTCACCTCCCCTCTCTCCCTGCTCAGATAAAAGCACCAACTGTGGCTCTTCAGTTGAAACAGCACCTCCACCTGCAGTCGGGGACTTTATTCCCTGCTGAAAGGATGTAGACTCAGATTTGAGAGCATCTATGCAGTTGTTAATTATCTGGTTGACTTTGTCAACTTCTTTAGCAATGGTGGAGATCTCAGCTACAGAGCCCTGGGGATTTGCTTGCGGTGACATCTCCCTTTCTCTTTCTCGTTCTCTTTCTCTTTCCCTTTCCTTTTCGATGCCAGAGCCTCTGACCTCCATGTAGTTCAGCTTGGCAGACTTGTGTCCTGGAGTTTCTATCACTTCCTGAAGCTTGTACGGATCAATCTCGCCTCCCTGGGGCAGGTAGGGCATTCTGGACAGACTTTCCCCTGCAGCAAGCTTTTGTGAGACAGATCCTCCACCACCTCCTTCTATATCCCCTTCCCCACCATATTTGAGTTCTATCAAAGTCCTCTGGATTCTACTCATCTTTCTCTCCTTCTCCTCCATGATCCTCTTTTTCCTCAGGCAGTGTACGACAAAGCCAAGAATGAGTAGCATACCAAACAGACAACCCAAAATTGTCATGATGTAATGAGTCGCAGATGACGGATTTCGTATTCTCTCAGCCCCAGCTTTTCGACCAGTAGAGATGGTTAAACAGGTGTGGTTGAACCTTAAGGAGTTCCGTATAGAAGCCACACAGTATGTGTAGTCTGTGTTAGGTTTCAAATTCTTCAGCTCTATATCCTCACTGTTTTTGTTCAGATGTTGGATATCAGTAAAGAAGCTGTTGTTATATAGCATCAGGATGAACATTTTCTTAAACGGATGGGGAAGCTGAACCGTTATGACTGCACTTGAATGTTGAACTTGTTTTATTGTTATGATTGGGTTGGAATCTGGGAAAATGGGACCAAGGCTTATCACGTCATCGGGAGCGGTCCCGGAGGCACAATCATCCAGTCCACACGGGGAGGCAAAGTCTGGCAGCTGAGTGGTGGAATCATAGATGTAGAAGGGTGTCACGCTACTGCCATCGTCTGTGCATACAAGATTAAGCACATGCAGGGCGTTTCGTTGAGCTGGCATACGAGGGTTCTGGCTAAGTAGGTTGTAGCCAGAGAATCCTTGAGGGGAGTCACACACCATCCGTTCACTGGTTCTGTTTGGGAACACAGCAAGCCAGCGCAGGAAACCTAGAAGCTCGCACGAGCAGTTGAAGGGGTTGGTGTAGAGTTCACAGGTCGTTAGCTTAGAGAGTCCAGAGAACAAATTTCCATCCAGAACTTGGATCCTAGAGTTGGAAATACAGATATAAAAATTTAAGTTCAATATCAATTATAGATGCACTTATGCAGTTAAACTTAATTACTTTAGAGCTCTTGAAATCTCTCCTCAAAATGTACCTAAAATCATTTCACATGTTCTAAAGAACCATTTATTTTTGTATTGTGTTATCTGATGTCCTTAATCAACATTACGTTCTATTAGAAAGTTCTTAGATGTGATTTGAACAGGAATTATAGGAATTATAGTATAGGGTCCTTGCATTAAAGGTTAGTTATACTGAGCATCATATTTGTCTGCAGTCCCTTAAGAGTCACATTTAATGAGAATCATCCTGCAAAATGAAACATGATAATCAGATATAGGCAGTGTAACAATCCGATCAGATATAAGCCAAACACAAAAAAGCAGCAAAAAGATTTCTAAGAAAAAAAATTGAGTTGCATAAGTTCTCTGAAAGTTTTTGTTTCTGTAGTTTCAAAGCATGTGTTTAACATGCAAGCCAACAAACCTCAGACCAACCTAGTATTCAATTCGAATGAAATTTTTAGGACTGATATTCAGTTTTCAACTTTTGTAAAGTTTTCTAATGCTTAATTTATTTGATCTGCCGCTTTGCAAAAAACTACAAGGTAACACATAAAACAGTATTTAAAAGCAATTTCATTATTTTCCACACGTAATAACAAAAAAAATGTATTTTTATTTGTCATTGCAGCTTTGTATATCACAATGTAATTGATCAGGAATCCACAGTGGAGGTTCTAGGGGATTCTAACTAGGGAACATGTAGTGCTCCAAGGGCATGAGCCCCCTGATCAATACACTACACCAGAGGGAGGAGTAAATGCAGGATTACATTTTAACAATTTTACCTTCTCATGTTAGTGATTAGTGCAGTAAGTGTGGCGAGTATTACTAAAACAACACTGAGATCTACAAAAACCAACCAACAGTTTTGATTCCAGCATATGCAATAAAAGTGAGAAATAGTACAGCCCAAAATGATGAAACAAATCAAAGTTGCTGTTCTTTGTTCAGTCTTCCTGTCATCTGTCTAAATCTTACTCTCCATCTCTTGTCATGTCATATAGAATACAGTTTCCTTTAGGTTTTGTTTTCATTACAACTGGAAACCTCTTAGGTGTGTTGTTTTCAATGGTTAGAAAAACAAAAGTTTTGAGGTTCTGAACATCCCCTCCCCTGAAGCAGGAAACTGATAAATTCTTTAAACAGTCAATCTATGTATTAGAATAGTCTCAGTAAATTAGCAACGACTAAAAAGTAAGGGCTAATCTTATAAGAAAAGTTTGAATGGTTTTGCCCTATAAAACAGTGGTTGCCTTAAAAGATGAAAGTATTTAAACAAATGAATTGATTTGTTTAAACGAAAAGATTATATTAGATCTGTATGTATTTAATATCTAAAAAATAATAATGTTTGCCATTTTTTTGATAACTGTAAGTCAAAATCTTACAGTTAACATTACATTTTTCAGCATTTTTTTCAACCAAAATAAAACATGTGTGTACAAAGTAATGTTTAAATCCATCAGGCAATTTGACTGAATAATTGATCAAAAATAGTTCTCATTTAAGACATTCTCTCTGCTTACTGCTTTTCAGTGCAGCTACAGCATTCTTTCATCTGCTAGTCATTTACAAACAAAGCTGCACAAGGTACCTGTTCATAGAGAGGTCTATATTTTCCAAATTGGGACACTCCCAGAAGGTGTTGGGTGTAACAGTCTCGATGAGATTGGCTTGCAGGTAGAGATACTGCAGCTTGCCCAGGCCCCGCAGCATCCCCTCTGTCAGGTTTCGCAATTTGTTAAAGCCCATCTGGAGAACCTGGTGAGACAAAGACAAGTGGGATTATCCTAATCTCTGAAGTGCCCGACAGCGCCAGGCGTTGCTCGCGACAAGCTGCAAACATACAGAACAAACAGCTGACAGTTCAGAACAGCTACTTTTTCACATTGTGATCTAAGCCTCTGTGCTGCACTGAAATTTAACAAGATCATTTTCATTTTCGCTTCTGGCATTGCTCCAGCATTTTGGGTAGGTGTGAAAGCTTGAAGACTCATTATTGTTCCACTTAGTGAAACAAAGGATATTTAGAAAATGCATAAATGAAGTGCTTGTTTTTATCTTGATTTCACTGTTTCCAAAAATGTAGGACAATCAGAAAGGGTTTTCATCTTTTACTTTAATGAATATAAGGCCAACACACACAAAAACTGTGTCCTGTCCTTAATTCATACATGCTCATTCTGTTAAAATACTATTTCAAGTATGATTTTATTAACGTATTTATGTTCTAGATTGAAATGTATTTCAGTCTAGATCTGTCTTCTTTTAAGGGTATAAATTTATAAATAAATCATAAAGGAAGTATGCCCTGAAACTTGACAACATGGTGTTATCTGCACTGCTTTACTCCTGGGATGTTCTTTCTATCCAACAGGGCCATGCTGGTGAGGAGAAGAAAATCCATATGTGCCCCAATGATAATCATTACTGTCAACATGCAATGCATTTCCCCCACAACTACTTTAAAATCACAACATTCCCAATGCTATGCAAACATACACTGCATTCTGCACTGCTATGTATTTTCTAAATATTGAATACATTTCCATGTACATATTTTCTTCTGAGGATCTTTCATATTTTCTAGAAGTATTTCTAAATATAATACAAGAACCTGCTTGCTAAAATAAGTCTATGCAACATTTTGTTGAGGTTTCATACTGACAAAAAGTCTTTGAAATGTTATAAAGTTTAAGTCAGGCCGGTTTTTTGGTTGGTCAAGCACAATGATACCATGGTGTTAATGTAGGTAGTGATACTTTCATTGGTGCTGACTAAAGCTAGGTTGAATGAATGAGTTGTTTTTTTCTCGGTAAAAACAACTCATATAATCATGTCATGGTTGTAACATCCACTTTAATCAGCAGTTGTTGTTTGCAAAATTGTAAAATAAATAAATAAATAGACTAGGTCGGTTTAAAGCTGTTTGTGTTTTTTTTTTTACAACGCCAAGAGAATATTTTTCCAACTTCTGTCACTTAAGCCTGACAGAAATAAAAGTCAGTCACCAAACACAGCTTTCCAACAGGTAGTGTGTATTTATAATTTTTCAATGGTGATATAAGAGAATGGAATCTGGCTGATAGCAGGGGATAAAAATTTCTGAAAATGGGATTTACCAGAAAGTCTACACTCTCATCTTCACCCTCAGGGCTAAGCCCCTGATCTCCTGGAATCCTAGATCCTTCCCTGGTCTAGGATACAGACTTTTAAATGGAATATAAAATTCATTTTTATTGGAAAATAGTTTCCACTGGCAAAAGGTACAGGGTTAAAAAAGTCAAAGAATAAAGCCTTGTCATCAGGACAAGATGAGGTAGAGTTACCAATCTTCACACAAAAAAAGTATTTTAGAGACGTAGGACTTTACACTGAAAAGCCTATGCTCTGGTTTTCATCCGTTGCTCTAGCCGTGAGATCCAAGAGCACCATTAGCAAATCGTTTGCTAAAGAAATGTCATTAAAACACTTAGAGATGATTGTGTGATGTAAATCAAACTTGTTGGGTGTGCCTTAAAACCAATTTTCAAGCAATATTCCTGTGAAAAAATGTTTGCTTTAGCAGCCATTACTGGTGTTTGATAACAGTGCACAGGTCCTTTTATACCGTTGTTTAAACCTACTGTTCTCTGTGAATAGTAAGCGTTTAACAATTGTTCAACAATTACCTTGTGCAAAGTTGATTATGGCCAGATACTCTATGAAACCCTTAGAATATAAGCCACTTTCAACTCTACTTAAGGTTTCTGGCTAGATAAAAAATGTCTGCCTCAATGATGTGTTCAGAAACAAGCTCGAGAACTCCCAAAGAGAAACAAAATGTGCCATTTTTGGAAAAAGAACAAAAGTCTCTGTTCTAGCAGAGTATGGACAGACCCTCCTTGTGGAGGGAGGGAACTGACAGGTCAGCAGTCTCCCGAATGACTGAGTCAGCCATAACCTGATTATAACATCGCTACATTAAAAGTAATTAATTGTGTCTTTTTAACTCTAAAAATTGTCAAAGTAAACTAATCGTTGGAATTCAACAATAAGTTATAATAGAACAAGTTAAAATAAACGCATGAATCTACATCATTTTATTACTTGTTTAACCTAATGTCTGAAATAAATGAATTTTTAAAATATGTAATTTTTGACAGAAATCTAGTGTATATGTAGGTTTCTTTATGCTGTTGTGTACATGTAGTTGGCAGAGGGTAGTAATTAGTTACATTTACTCAGTTACATTTACGTGTACTTTTAGGAGTAGTTTTACAGGATTGTCCGTAAAAATATGATAAAGTATCACTACCCTTACTTGAGTAAACATTCTAGCAACTCCATCCATTGTAACTTCACTTAATAAACACAAGCTTGTTTTAAACAAAAATGCACCATTGAGATACACATTTTCTTTTTTTTGTACTCAAGGCTTATTAGTTATTTTCCTACTGCTGAGGTTGAGTGATAACTCAGTACACAGTATACTATAATTTCAAATACTCTAACATACTGTAACTATTTATTTTGTAAGATGATTTTGATTTTTATAACTCAAAAATATTAAATCTGCTGTTATGATCATGGGTAGTAACGAGATAAGTTATTCATTACTTGATTAACTTTTTTACTAAATATTGTTTTACTCTTGCTTGAGTCATATTTTAGGTTACGTTTAACTATTACTTCCGTGATAGTATTATGAAGCACTACTTTTACTTAAGACTACAATTTGTGGAGCCGGTGAAAATATTCCTCATCAAAACAGCATGTTCTTTGTGGAACTATGCCATCCTTTTTTTCATCAATCCCTTTTTGGAAAATTCAGGATCATTACCTTTGGTCTTCAGCAAGCCATGTGGACATTTCAGGTTTCACAATTTTTTCTCAGAATTCTTAGTTTAATTTTTGACCTGTAGTTAAAGTGAACATTGGCAGAATAGACCTTAATGATTTGTAAAATGGCTGTATAAGTGTTTCTGGGCCTGGGCAGCATTTTGTATGGCTGATTCAAACATTGTCACCAGAATGTTTTATGTCCCAGTCACAATTCCAGCCTGCTGCCGATAAAATAAATTGGTTTCATTGGGTGGGAGGAACGGCTGTGTAGTTGGCTCACTTTATAGAAAATCACCATCTGGTTATTTTTTCTGAGTGGAATTTGAATGTTCTTCCATTGCCCACCCTGGTTTCCTCACACTAATTAAACTTTTTGATTTAAAGTCATTTACATATATCAGAAAAATTGTACATGCTTAGTTGGTTTTTGTCTGTGTTGTACCTGTGTTAAATTGGATCATGTCTCTATAGTTTTTATGTCGGTATTACTGACTATATAGAAAGAAAATATTTTTATCTGTAGTAGTAGTTTGGTGTGAGAATCCGCAGAGTCATACTCCAGAGAGCCTTCAAGCTTCATGCAGGAAAAAAAAAACACGTCATGGGGATTTAAACTAAAAACCAAATACGTATGTATGTTTATAGCTGTAGGTAGGAGGGATTCTAGTGTTATGCGCCAGGTCTAGAGAAACCTTTGATCTAGACATGTGTTCGAACATTCGCCCTAATATAGAGCAATATATAGGGCTTACAACATTTTATGAGTGTCCGAATGTCTGGTGGATGAAAAAAGTAGTGAACTCAATGTTTCCCACAATGCACCTTGAAAAGTAGTGATCAACCATGGTCAGTAGACGAGCAGATATATTCCAGACTGCTTTGCAAGAGCTCTTCTTGCAAAGCATTATGGGATTTGTTTCGGGGGCGAAAAAGAAAAAAGATGGTACAGGCACTGTGTGGGGTTACCAGAGTCATGTGAGAGTGAAAAATAGTGATCATCTGTCTGAATGGTTAGTTAACTGAGTTTACTATCAAGTCCACTATATAGTCCCTGTTCTATAGTCATTGAGGGGTTTAGGGTGGATGTTCATACTCAGCCACAGTTTGTGATTAACAATTTTCTGAAGATGACTCTCACTGTTATTCATAAGGTTCATTTTATGAAGAATTCTTCTTTGTGAAATAATCTCCATAGGTTTGAGAGAGGTTCCCAGGATAGAAACATATTGCTTTATTAGCTTATTGAGCTTTTTTAAGTCATTTGCTCTGATGCTGTTACCCCAGCATATGATGTAGCATTTTGCTGCAAACACAGAAGGACCTAAGTTTCCTAAAGACGTGCCGTCTCAGACATAAGCACTGCATCTCCAATCAAGCCTGTTCATCAGGTGAACACCAAGGTATTTCTACTC